TCTGAGCTGGTGGAAGCATGGTGTGCTCTCACGGATTTTGGGAGCTGGAGCCGTGTCCTTCAGTCCAGTGAGAGCATCAGCCCGCAGGTCCTGCCTGGGAGGTGGTGCCTGCTGTAGGTCTGTCCCTGGCAGGGCAGGCAGCCTTGGATTTGTGTGTGGTGCTGAACTGTCACCCCTCTGAAAGAGGTGATTAGGTAAGAATGCAGCCACTTCCATTTGTGAGCTGCACAATCCCAATTCACTGGCCGCTTGCTGAGTCCTGACCAGTTCAGCCCGGTGGTTCTGACACTGCTCGGTTTGTGATCCCTTCTCCAGGGAATGGAGCCAGCTAACAGCCAGGTGGCTTTTCTCTTGTGATCCACCTGGAATGCCCTCCAGGGACCTCCAGGATGAAGAGAAACTTGGAAAAAGTGAGCAGTTTGGACTCGGAAAGAAGCAAACAGTGAGGGATGGATGGATGGATGGAGAGATCCCTTATGCACCCTGTGGGCTTAGGGAACACTAATCCCAGTGCAAATTGCAGTGGTGAGAAGGAAGGGAAGATGAAGTTTCCTGTCAGTGTCTTCCCATCCATGAAATGATTGCTCTAACTATGTTGTCCAGGAATTAAACTCTGATATGTGAGTGTGTGGCTCTTCTGGAATCTACAATATTTTAGCTTGGTTATATGTTAGCTTACACTTTTCCACCCTCTGCAGTCCCTTTTCTCTCTCACAGTTGGGTGACAGACTATAAAAACATCCAGAATCTCTAGGAGTGAACTGTGAGTCCAAATAAACTTCTGCTGAGGGGTGCAGGAGGTTCAGAAAGTCAGTGGGGTTCAGGTATGGCTTTGTCTCTGGTGTCTGCCTACAGAAGCAAACTGCACCTCCAGCTTCCTGTGTCAGCCTGGAGACCTGCCCTGTGAAATCCTCTCAGGCCAGGATGAGGATGTGATCAGGATCCCCATGTGCTCTGGAAGGTGAGGATTTCTTGTGTCCTCCAGTGTCCAGGCGCCCAAAGCCATCGCTGCTTTTGCTGAGTCAGCAGAGACAGGAACCTCTCAGCATCTGCTGAGGGAAGGGTCGGGGCTGTTTAAGCTTCAGGGAGGAGTTTGCAGAGCATCTCCAAATGGAAGCAAACTATTGATTTTGTTGTTCCACTTAGCCTGAAGGGTCCACAGTAACATCCCGAACCTATACAGTGAATGTGATTAGATATCTGCTGGCATCAACACCCCTATTCCATCTGGAAAAACACGCTGTCAGCTGTGATCAAGACGTGAGATCTCAGTCTGTAGCCCCAGAAGGAAACTGTCTAAATCAACAGCTTGCGGGCCATGATCTGCAGATCCTCTGTTGTCTGTGAAAGTCTTCCAAGAATTAAATAGGATGTGAGAGGAGGGGGTGCTTCTTTGGAAACAGCTGGAGGAAATGGACCAAGTGAAACTCTTCTCTCTGAGCAAGGACCGGTTCCATGGGATGCTGCAGAACATCATGCTAAATATGTTGGTGATGAGCATGCATGAGATCTAATGGAGCTGCTGTTTGGATCATTTTGTTTGCTTGGTTGGAATATTCTTTTGGAATAAGCAGCAATATATTCTCTGCCATCCTGGATGCATGCCAGTAAAAGTCCTAAACCTTCCTTCCTAGCATCTGTATATAATATAAAGGGTCATTTATAATCTCTGTAAGCCATGATGGGGCCTTTCGTCACGTTGTCTGAAGCCTGCTTGCATTCTGGAAGCTGTTCTTGCTGACTTTTGGCTTGCAAAGAGAAGTCTTGGGATGGTTTTGTCTGTCTTTCTTCTGTAATCACTGTGCTATTTTATCTGCAGTGAATTCCAAGCTGTATGTCCTAATGCATCCTTGACCAGCTGTGTTCCTGTTTTTGTCTCACCTGCCTGTGTGCCACAGTAAAAAACCCTAAAAGTTGTATTTGTAGGAAAATGATGCTGTTTATGGGAAGCCAAGAGTGTGATGTACCTTTCACTCTGGGCTGTGGGTACCTTTGTAACCCAGCTCTCCTGTTGGTAAAGAGAGAAGTTGGAGGAATCTGTGTTCACATTTGATTAGCTGAGTATCTTTGGGGTCTGCCCTTGTTTGGTTTTTTTTATGCCCACACTGGTGTTTCTGCTTTAGAGCTGTGGTGATAAGTGTGGTACTTTATCATTGTCACTGCTCTCTGTGCTCCTGCTCAGGAAGGTGAAAGGTTGTCCCAGGGTTTGAGTGAAGGATCTGTTACCCTGCCATGAGCTGTCAGTCCTGTTCAGCCTGGCAAACCCAGGTGATGGCTTCAGGCAAGGAAAGCAATGCATGGAGAGCCTCGGGGAAGCTTCTCACTTCCTGTAGTGATTGATTCCTTTTATAACAGGTCCCTGAGCAGGTCATGGGACGAAATGAACCTGGGAAGGTGTTGGGTTTGTCCTCACCCCAATGTGCTGTAGAATGAGAGCAGCCTTTATCTTCAACTGCTGCCCAAGGTGCTGTGATGAGGTTGTAACAAGTTCTCTTCAGCACCTCTCTTTTCCATGAAAGGCTGTCCCCAGAAATTACAACCTGATTCCCAAATTCCTTGGACTTGGAAGGGGATGTGTGTACCTGCTCTACTTGATCCTTAAAATAAGCTGTTAAAAATATGAGCCCTACTTAGATATCAGCAGTTTGGGGCTTGTTTGGAAAGAAAATCTACGCATTGTAGCAGGACCCACTAAAGAGAAGCCCTGGCAGATTCAGCCTTGTGTGTAGCTTAGAATAATCAACCTTTCTTGCAGTTTTTGATGTAGACAGCCTGCACAGTGCCACCTCCAGAGTCACACATGAAGTGCCAGACTCCCAAACTGCTTGAAAATAATCCTTGAAGGAGCAAGATGACATTAAATTTGTGTCTATGCAAGGGAAGCCTAAAGAGGGTAATGGTTAGTTTCCATTCTCTCCTTAGGAGTTGCAATTTTGAGCTGCCATTGTCCATTAACAAGAGCAGATTGGCTGCCAGATTCCCTCTGGCAATTCCAGAGTCTGCCCCTATCACCTGCCTTTCTCTTCTGGGGTGTGTGGTGGTGTTTGCCTTCATTCACCTAATTTCCCTTCAGGAATATGAAACTGTCTAATTTCAGCATCAGATATGAAGGTTTTTTCCAAGTGCATTTCCCATGGCATGATGAGATTTACCTCTGCCTGGAGAAACCCCCTGACTAAGGCTTGGAGAGACCAAATGGCTGATTGCACCAAGTGTGCAAGTGAAATATAAAAGGAAACTTTGAATTATCACATTTTCAGCCTTTAGCTCCTGTTGTTTCTTCTGGTCCTGCTCCCTAAACTTTGTGTGGAAGTTGTGTTGAGCCCACTAAAGGATCTGATGTCATCATGTGATCTGAAGTTTCATTAACTTTATCTTTTCCCCCCTTGTTTTATCCATTGTTTTGATGCTGGAGATGTCATTAGAGACATTTGGGTACTGATCCCTGTTCACACACTACAGATCCCTGACAAATCTGAGCTAAGTGGTTCTGTAGGACCTCCCTGCCCATCTGGGGTCACCTCAGGTGTGCCCACAGTCCACACTCCCTGATGAGGAATCCCAGGGGGGTTTGTGGTGAGCAGTGTCTCAGGGCAAGCTGCATGGCTGAGCCTTGTCACTGCTGCTGGGCTGGTGGCACTGGGCACAGAGCCACCTCTCCCTGGGTGTCCCAGAGTTCCCGGCCGGCTGTAGCCGAAGGGTCAGCGAGCAGCCCGCTGGCCCCATGTGGTCCTGGCATGTGTGCCTCCTATTCATGGAAATGGGAGCTAGCCAGAGAGCAGGGATTCCTGTGGAGATGGGAGGAGAATGCAGAAAGGGGAAAAAAGCAACAAATGCTGTAAATGGCATGTTCTGGGGAAATCAAACTGACATAGAGGAGGTGGTTTAGGGAAGGAGAAGGGGATGTGCAGGTGCATTTCCACTTTGATTTTTGATGTGCAAGGTTGGGGAGTCACTGTGGTGCTTGAAGGGATCAGTTCTATTGAGGGTTCTTGCTTTAAGATAGATGAGGAGCCAGGACTCTGGCTCTGGTTCAGCAGGGAATGCTTACACAAGCACTGGGCGTGTTGTGGAGCACAAGCTGGTGTCTCCACGTCCCACAGTGACCCCAGTTCTGAGTCAGTAGGAAAGCGACTCTCAAACCTGTTAACTACACTGATGTTAGCTACAAAAGCATCACAAAACATTCCACACCAAAATACTCACAAAAACATGAACCAGTATTTGGCAAAGCTGAGCAATGCTTGCAAGGGAGAAATGAAAGAATTATTTTTTTGTACCCCTCAAGCATGTCACTGGAACCTAAAACTTTTGTTTTCAGAGAAGGTCCCTGAAGGCTCTCTAGGTCCTGATTCCCTGTGCTGACACTGCAGTTCCTCCTGTCCCATATGCCTTGCAGTGAGGGGTCTGTCTCTCTCCAGACTGTGAGACACCCGTCCCTCCCTCCCCTGCACTTTCCCTTGCTCGTTTTTAGGCAGTAACCCCAGCAGGACAACAACAGGACTTGTTCAGCACCCAGCTTTTTTGAGCCCTGCTGACAGAGAACTCCACCACACCAAAAAGCAGAATTTTCCAACTCTGCTGTCATTCAGAATGGTGGGAGGCTGGGGAAGGATACCATGACAAGCAGGATGGAATTAAGACCAGTACAATGGGAGCTGACTATCAGGAGATTTGGAACACTTCTTTTTTTTCTCAAGTCCTATTGTTTCTGATAAGTCACAGAACTAAATTATGCACTGTAAAACTCTGGCCTCTGACAACCAAGCAAGAGGCATTACTGGATCTGTGGTTCAGGTTGGCAGGAGCTGGGAATCTTTCTGTAGCTATTGGAAGGAGAGGGTGGGGTGAGAAGTGAAGACTGCAAGTTAGCCTGGCTATGGCTGGCAGAAGAAACCACCCCACCCCCAGATTCTTGGTCTGTTTTTCCTGCAGTCTGGTGTGTGTTGGTTCACTGGTTGTCTCAGGGGAGCTCCCTAATGTGTCCTTTCTCTCTGCAGGCACTGGTGTCACTACACAGTCACAAGGACAGTCTCCTGCCAGGTGCAGAACGGGTCAGAGACGGTCATCCAGAGAGTTTATCAGAGCTGCCGGTGGCCAGGACCTTGTGCCAACTTAGTGAGGTAAAAATCTTCATGTCTCATGTTGCCCAAATCTTCCTGCCCTTCCCCTTTGGTTGGATGGCTGGTGAGTGCTGCAGAGAGAGCTGAGATCAGAGGCTCAGGTGGGATGTCCTGCTTTGGGGTGCTGTGACCGAAGAAGGCCACTGGTGATAACTGCAGGGTAATCACAGGTGAAGGTAAGTGTAGTATTGTTTCCAATTTTAGGAGCTCTCTAAACACAGGGTCTAATTTAGAAAGGAGACATTGTTCATTCTGTGCAAGGTGGAGGTTCCCACAAATCAAGCACACCGAGGGATAAAATATTACATCTTTTATACAGGACAGTTTACATGAACCCACCTGTTTAATATACATTCTCCATCTACCTAATGTCTGTTTATTTGAGTGATATAATCTTACACAAGATGCTTAAAATAAAAGGTTCTTCTTTTAAGCAGCTTCTACTGTACAACATGACAAGATCATTTATATTTACAGAAGGGGACAGACAGTTCAATTTAATGACATCAGTTTTAGGACAAGTTATGTGAAACTGTTCATCTCAGGCTGTAGTGCCAGTTTGTGCTTCTCCACACAGGAGGCTGCTGCTGGTCAGGCATGAGAGGAGATAAATGTTCAGTGTGACTGGACAAGGTGAGCAGGGATGCTGCATCAATGGATCTGTGTGTCCTGTTGGTATCAAGTCCTCATACTCAGGGCTGTAGTGGTGATATTGATCACATACACGGGAAAGCTGTGATCAAATCCCTTATAGGCAATGAGGGACAAAGGTAATGTGCCCTGTAACTTTCAGGTGGAATTTCTTTAGACTTCCTGGACTTCAGTACCCTTTAAAGACACGTCAAAACAGAATGTCCTCTCATCAGACAAAAAACAAAGTTTAAAAACAGCCACTTGTCAAAAATGTGCCCTGAGCCTGCTTTGCCTTTTGATCATTTATAGTCTTGGAAGCTACATGTAAGAAGGAAAAAAGAAGTGTGAAATAGCTGTCCCCAGCTACCACCTCTCAGTAAAATGTCTTTGTTGTGCCTTGCCTTCTCTGAAAAGCATTCTCAGAGCAGGATTGTGCTGCCCACCCATCTGGGAATTCGGGCAAAAAAGCCATTGTACTCTAAATTTGCACCTAGCTTCTAAAACAATTTCCTAAGTAGACAAGCCATAACTTAGCTCACAGAGCTCAGTCATTTTATTGCTGTTGTTACCAATTCACCCCCAGGGCACTGGTTGAGGTCCTCCTGTAGTTGGTAACCTACAGGAGGTGGCCAGAAGGTGACTGCAAGCTGAGATCCATCTCCCTGTTCTTGTGACACTTCATCTAGAATTCACATCAATGGGCTGTTCCCATTGTTGGTTCTCCAGTTTCCTCTTGGCCAGTGGTCAGTCTCGGTTTTTTCACTTGTAATGTATCTGCTTTGGTGTCTCTTTGGTCTTTATGCAAGGCTGTGGTTGAAACACTTCATATTTCACACTGTCATGGCCAAACTTCTGTTGAAGCTTTTTAATTTCCCAGGCTTTTTAGGCACATAATTGTCATTAGAAACTTGTGAGCTTTCACCTTGTCTCCTAAACTTGCCAAAAATCTTACTTATTTTTGTTGTTAACACAACTGGAGTTTCATAAGAACCAAACACTTGATCATGTTATTAGGAAAAATTCTTTTTGTGGGCCCCTGCAGTTGATTGATGCCATTGATTCTTACATTAACCCAGAGACTTTAGGAATAGTGTGTGCTGTTGTGACATTGTTCATGGAACATTTTCAGTTTCAAATGTAGTTTGGTTTGTTTGCCTGATGAGTCCAATTGTTTGGAGACAATGCAGAACAGCAGCAGACATCTCAATTTTTCTTTCTGTGCGAAAATATCATGGAAAGAAGCTGGGTTTATTAAATATTCAATATCTCAGCTGGTGAAAGCTGCTCAGCTAACAGGAGCTGCATTTTTGGAAGATGATCACCATGGAGAAACCTTCCAGAAGAGATGGGAGGACATCAATGCTCTGTTCCCTTTGAGTTGGGAGGAAATGCAGGACGAGAGGATGGAACCCTTCCAGGGAAATACCTATAATGCCTGTCCTCTAGCCACACATTGTATGACATTCTTGCATAAAGTAGAGAAAGACCCTGCACCTCTCTCCCGAGGACCTCTCAGAAAGTTGCTGACAAAATGCTGGAACTCATCCTCTTACCATCAGGGGTGAAACAGGTCCTTGATAATTGCCCCTACTGCCATTGTCTGAAAGGGAGAGACCAAAGAAAGAACAACAAAGGTGGATCCTCTGAGATCCTGAGAGTTGAATGGGCTGTTGGATAAGTTATCCTCAGCCAAGACATCTTTTCAAGTGTTTGTTTTCAGCAATCAATCTGACATTGATAAGAGAATGAAAAACAGCTGCTGAAAATGATGGATCTTGTCATGTGTGACTGCTGTAGACAAGGTTCTGTACCCCAAGCCAGGCTGTGGTTGAGGTGTTGTTTCCTGAGCACACAGCAGCCTAGCACTATTTTGTTGCCAGCCCATAGGGATGGCTTGAAGTGGCTTTCTTTTTTTTGGAGTCAAGCTGAAGTTCTAAAATCACTTTTTTTTAAAAAATACTTTTTCCTCCTCTCTCACCAAAATGAGTATTGTCTTTTTAGGAAACACCAATCTCTCTTCTTATTCAGGTAAATCCCATCTCCTATTTTCAGATGAAAACTCCTTGTGTATAAAGGATAGAAATAAGAAAAGCAGTTCCCAAAGTTATAAGGCAGTGTAGTGCCTTTTCTGTTAAGGAACTGGCATTGAAGTGGCTTGTAAACGTTTATCAGCCACCAAGCTATACAACTTCCTTTGACAGGTCTCTGAAAATCCCTGCAGAAAATGAACAGAGCACAAAACTAAGCTTGGATGCCCTACTTGTTTCTGTTTCCTCCTTACCTTGTCTGTACCAGCCTCTCTTTTTGGGATTTCTGGAAGTCTAGCTTCAGGCAAGGTCAGGCTTGTTCCAGGTCTGGTAGTGGCTAAAAATGTTCTTGCTCTCTATATCCCTGCGGTTGTATAGGTCATATAAATATATCTGCTTTTCTTTTGCCAAAAAAGTAAATTTCAAGTGTCTTTTGGCCTTCTCCTATTCTTCTCTAGGGAGATTTGTGGTGCCTGAGCTTGAATTGAAGTGCACAGAGTGTTCTGTATGACTGTAAGCAGTGTAAAATGTCAGTAAGCCATTGGCACCATTTTGGCTTTGTAGTGTTTCTCCCAGCTGTGATTTGAAACAAACTGTTTTCATCTCCTTGTTTACAGGGAGTCAGCCATATCTGGGAGAGCTTTCATTCTGCCAGCACCCTTTATCAGGCTGCTCACTAGCAAAAGGGATGTCAGCCAAGGAAAAAGGCATCTCTCAGACTCGTGGTGACAGCTGAGAGGGGCTCTCTGCTACAGAGACTCCACTTAGAAGCAGACATCAGTGGGGCCAGACAAGGATTTAATCCCTTTCCTGTCTCCCATTCACTCGTGTTGGGTTTCTTTCCCTTACTGCACAAACTGCAGCTCAGGGTCAGGCCTTTGTCAGAGGAGGATCTGAGCGATCCCAGCCTTCTCCCTGGCTGTGAGATGTCCTTGCTGTCCATCCACTTGCTCCTGGGAAGCTGCAGCAAAGTTGCTTTAGCAGGAGTATCATCATCTTAGCTGGGCTGGGATGAGCTGCTCTGTTCTTGCCCTCCACCCCAGGCTCTTTATTTAGCTTGGGTGCTGAGTTGCTCTGGAGCAGTCTTGGCTGGAGGATTTCCCTCAGCAGATCTGTTCTTGAACTCTCTCCATTTGTGCATCAAAGGCTTTGGGTCCTGTGTGCCACAGGCTGTGCCCTTTCCAGGTCACGCTCCAGGGTGCACAGGCAGCTCTCCTGCAGCCTGGCAGAAGCTTCTGGGCTGCTTCAAACACATGTGCCATTTGACTGTCTGAAGGAAGGGACAAAGTCCCTACCTGGGGGTTTCAATGGCAGCCTAGTCTCTGGTTCTCTACTGCCTGGATGGTTGTAGCTGGGAGTTACAGCTCCCAGTAAAACCAGGCATCCAAATTGTACCCTTCTCCTCAGCAAGCCTTTTGCTGCAGCAGCTGCAGGGTGGTGCCCAGTCCTGCCCTGCTTGGGACACTGCACTCCTCAAGGCTCACTGAGAAGGATGGTCTTGAAGGCCAGGCAAGGATTTGAGACCTACATTCAGTCAGAAGACAAACACTTTCTGCTTCAAACTCTTGTTGCTGTGAAAATCCCCATCTCTGGAAGTGTTCTTCATTTGTAGTGGAATATTCCAGCTCCTCTCCTACTTGTCCCATCCTTGAAAATGAATGTTCCCAGCAAGGCTGTGTGACTTTTTATCCTGTTTTTTATACTGCTATGCTTTGCTGTACCCCATGGCCACAGAGCTGTCTCACTTTAGCTTTTGAGTCTCTGTCTCTACAGCATTTTCTGCCTTTAGACACTTTTCCAGGAAACTCACAGTTGGCTTGTACAGGGATTGGTTTACCTGGTCTCTTACTTTGATAAGAGTCACTGGAACTCCAAACATTAAGTTACTAATCTGTTGGCTTCAAACTTCACTCAGAGCTGGGAGAGATGGAAGGAAGAGTGTTCTTGCAACACAGCAAATCTGGGCTGTGATGCCCTTTCCAGCTGCCTGTCACTGCCTGTTTTTTTATTTCAGTATTGTAGCTGGTTTGGCTTATCACAAATGCTCTGTGCATTTAATGTAAGCAGGCTACACATCTTGCATGGATCATTGTTTGGTGTTTTTGAATGCTGGGTTTTCTTTTTTTTTTTTGTTCTTGATTTAAATTGAACACATTACTGCTCCCGGAGGGATTTTACAAGCTAGTTTGTGTAATAACAAAGAAGGAATTCTGCAGGCTCATCCAATTTGGTCTTCTGTGCTTTTGAAAACTCTGTTGCTACAGGGTCAGTAGGAGAAGTTAGGGATCTGTCACCCAGGAGATTGGCCTGTAGATGATGTTTCCCCTCAGTTTCAGAACTAGTAATGCCACAGGGAAATCCTTCTCTCTTTCTTGCTTTCCAGTCAATTGAATAATAAATCCCAGAGCTTATTCCAGTGTATTTGGATTGCTATTTGAATTCCTGTTACACATAAACTCTTTTATGTATTTAATTCCCTTACGACTCCACATCTTGGAGAGAAATGTGCTTGGAAAAAGGCATCTGCTCTCCAAAGCACACATGGGACAGAAATGCAGGATGAACAGTGCTCCTACAAACAAGACAGACAGAGGCTCTGGCTGTGCAGGATTAGAGCTGTAGCACAAAGGGGCATTCTCAGCTTTGAACAATGGCTGTGTGGTGCTGGCTGGGCACAGGTGGAGGGTCACCTGTTTCAGGGGTTGTGCTCAGGCTGCTGATTGAGGCCTTTTGATCTTGCCCAGACATTCTTTGAGCACTCCTCCTCCCTGCTGCAGTGCATCTGACATCTGATTGTTAATAAAGACAGGAACTGATGATTGCTCTGTGGTGGCATAGAAATATCTGTCTCTGTGTCCTTGGCTTTTTTTCTTGAGACTCAGAGACTGTCAGGTATTGCTGTGGACAGCAGGGCATGGCAGGTAGGTAAGTTTGTTTCCTGGCTTTAGTCTTTTGCTAAGTTATTTGAACCAGACATGTTTCAGAGCTAAACAGAACCTTCCTCCTCCCTGTTGACACAGGCAGAAGACACAATGAGCTCCAACACTCCTGCAGCTGCAGGTTGGTTTGTTTTTTTTTTTTAATCTGGTGCCTGCAGGAGCATATTTGAAACTTCTCTGGTTAGGTTTTATCCTGGGGAACTACTGGATTTGTGGTAGGGAAGCTGGAAGAGCTGGGGATGCAGGAAAAAAGAGCACAGGCCTGATTCACAGTGATGATCTCTGCTGTGCCCGTGAGTGTAAATGTGATGGCAAAGGTGCTTTTGAGGTGAAGTTGTCTTGTCTGTGTCACACAGAGGAGCTGCCTGGTGTAATCAGTGTCTGGTAGGCTTTGAGAGGATGGTTTTGATGGTCTCTGTGGGTGTGGTGCTGTTGGGAACCAAATACATATTTGATAGCTTCTCTGAGCTCTTGAACTCCCTTCTTTCCAGGTGCTTTGAGATACTGTTACTTAACCTGATGGATTTGAAATCTGATTTCAGAACACTCTGATTTTCTGTGGGGAGTTGCAGGGTTTTGGCATGTCTGTAAATCAGGGCATTGGTACCAAGAGTCAGAGGAACTACCACAAGTTTTGTTCTGAATGCCTTTTGAAGCATTTGTTGTAATGGGGATGAGGGTCCCTGGAAGACAATATAGCAGTTATATGTCTGGGGTTGGACCCACTGGGTTGATACCTGACTTCAGTGCCATGAGAAAAGTAGGCAAAACAGAGTTTGGATTTCTTGGTTTCGGGATTCTTTGCCAGTCAAAAAGGCAAGTTCATTCATCTTGTGATCCTGAAACCCATCAGTAAGTGATGGTGAAACTTTCAACCTGGGGCTTGAATAAAAATGAATAGAAGCCTCTGAGGGTCACGGAGGTCTCCTTGGGCATAAACTGCAATGGCTGAATGAATCAGAGTAACAAAACCTTCTCTTGTGATGTGGAAACGAGTTTCACGCCTTCCTTCTCATGTGGTCTTTGTGCACAAACAGCTTTGTTTGTGAGTGTCAAAGGGCAGGGGAAATCCAGAAAGGGTGAAGGTATTTCCTGTGTGTGACAGGCTGTCCTGCTTGGGTCATGGCAGAGATCACGCCTGTCTCTTTTGACCTGATTTTTTTAGGCTTTGATCCAGGAATGTGACGCTCTTCCCTTTTCTTGTGTCATGTCTGCCTGTTGTGTTCAGTGACACTTCCTTGAAAGCAAGGGGGACACGTCCTTGTGTGCTGAGGAGTGAGACTTGTGGCTGCCATCTCTTGGTGTGTCCTGACCTCTCCAGGACTTACAGCATTGTACCCCAAATCAGTTCATCAATCAGCTCACGCTCCTTCCCCAAATTACCATGTCCTTGGCAGCCACTTAGAGCCACAAGCAAAAGATGCTATTTCCCAAATGTTAATTGTATATGGACAAGCTCATGTAGCTCATCCTACAGGGATCAGGCAGCTCCTGTGTGTTGGCTCTGATCTAGGAACAGCAGTGGCTGCTGGTTGAACTTTCTGGGCTCTTTCCTAGGAGTTGCCCCACTCCCTGGGATATTGTTGTGAAGCCTCAGCAAAATCCCTGGAAATGACTCCTGACTCTTGCAGTGGAGTGGCAGATCCTGGTAGTTTGCTTCTTCATGAAGTGCTTGGAAGGGAGCTGTGTGTGCTGAGCACATCCTTTGGCTACCTGAAGAGCAGAGCAGTGTAAGGTTGTGGCTCCTCCAAACCTCTTCCCTCTGCTTTGGCAGATTTCTGTGCCAGTGTTTGTGGCTTGAGAGACATCCAAGGGAAAGGCTATTTTCCTAGCAATCCTTTTTTCTGCCTCTTGTATTTTCCACACATTTTCATTCAGGGGCTTCTGATCTTTATTGGTATCTTCCTTCCCTCTCCTTTTTATATAATTTTTTCAACTCCTTCAGTTGCAACGCTACAAGTGTCAGATGGTGGTGATGCTTTGCTAAAGGTGCTTTCTTTGCTCTCCTCCTGGAATAGCAGTCAGAAATCTGCACGATGTGATGCTGTAGGTCACAGCAGACCTTGGTGCCATGTCACAAAATTGTGGACAAGTGATGTTATGAAGAACAGAGCAACTTCAGAACAAACTGGATTTGCAGACTGGGCCCACTTCAGATGCCTGAGTGCACAATGCTGAACAGAGCTGCGCATGTCAGGACTCTTCCAGGGAATTCAGGGTGGGTGGTAGACTGTGACAGCTGAGCTCCACTCTTGTCATGCCCTGAGAAGTCCTCCCTCACTTGAGGATTAAACTAGAGCTACTTCCCCGACACAGAACTGCTGCCAAAATTCCAGTCTGGCTCAAGGCACTCTCCACACTTCATAATGAAGTTTGAAAGAGTTTTAACATCTTGGTGTTGGCAGAAACATAGTTTTAAAATCACGGTGTGGTTGGAGACACATTGGCTCTGGACACTGGTAACAAGACTGGAGACTTTCATCTGAAGGTCAGATCCAGCTGTGGTGTTAGTGACAAAGTCATGAACTTCTGACTGATGGTTTGGGGCTAACGTGTGGAAACGTTTCTGGAGTTCAATGCCAGGACTGGGAGTTAGGAGACCTGGGTTCAGTTCCTGGGCTTTGCCAGAGCTATTCTGAGAGACCCTCAGCAAGACATTTAAAGTCTTTGTGCCTTAGGTCTCTTTGTGAAAAAGCGTTAAAGGTTTACCTACATCAGTGAGCTCCAAGTCCTCAAACTCACACATGACTGTGGACTCCTGAACACCACTGCATGCAGAAGAGCAAAGAAATAGGTGGGATGAGCTGGCTCTGTCCAGCCCATACCAGACAAGTGCCTGGATCACAGTTGTGGGTATTAGGAGTGACTGGTGTCCTTTTTGGGAGCTCCAAGGGTGAGGACCTCATGTTCTCAGGAGACAGTGCTGCTCTCCCATCTCTGGGTGAGGCTGTTGCCAGAGCAGGCAGCCCCTGCTCAGGAAGAAGCTTGTGCAGCCTCCACTCTCCAGTGGCTATAGGAGAACTTATTTTCTGTGTTTGGCAGCTGGCACAAATCAGCAGCAGCTTCCTGAGAAATTAGCTTCCCAAAGACTCTGCTAACCACGACTGAGCTGCTCCTTCTTTCCAAGACACACATGGGCAGCCTCTCCTGGCAAGCCTTTGTTACTGCTCTTTGGAGTAGCTACCAGTCACTGCATTGCTGTCCTGGTGGACACCTGCCTCCCCTTGGAGCAGTTTTGGATGAGATTCATGCAATCTCCAGCTCTGTTTTTCTCCTGTACCCAGCTGAGCCCGGGGCAGTGCTCTGTCTCCTGCTGGCTCTCAGCAGGAGGAGCCTTTTCCCCAGGGACAAGGGTGCTCAGGGCTTGTGTCTGCCTGGCTTAGACAGACAAGCATAAACTGCAGCCTGCAATACTGTAATCCCAAAGCTTCAGACTTTCCCTGTGTGCCAAATTCTTTTGGCTGTTAAATAAGGGTAGGAATTTCGAGGGGAGCTTGTAGAGTACAACTTCTGTGTTTGCTTTTAGCTTCATGAATAGCAGCAGTGACTTGTTTGGCTGTATACTGGGAAAACTCTGAGTTGCCAGCTTTGACGAGCTGCTGTTTTAAAGGAAAAGTTGTCACTTATGCAACTGTCTGTTTTGTGTTGACTTCAGAATCACTGGTGCCTTGCACAGCCCTGCTGTGTCTGCAGGTCACCCTGCAGTTCCCAGAGGGGCATGGCAGTGCTTGTGCTGTAATTGGGACCCTGGGGATGCTGTGCTGCTCACAGAGCTCACAAACCTGTCCTGCAGAACCTTGGCTGTGCTTCTGCAGAAGAGTGTGACCCTATTTCAGGTGTGGGCGAATTGAGGCACAGGGCAGATAGCTGGGAAAAAGGCTCCACGAAGGTCACTGATGTAGCTGTCATGTTGATGTGTTGGAACATCCCAGGTCTGAGTGGTGGGGAAAGGGAAGGCACCTGGAAGGTGAGAAACTATTACTGCTGAGTGAGGAAAGGCTATTGCCAGCCTCTGTTCAATGTCCCAGAAGTCCACATGAAGGGAGAGTGTGGGAAACAAGTAACCTCCTACTTGCAGAGCTTTGTAGTGGTGAGATCTCCACAAAGCTTCTGGGGGTACCTGTGGGAGGAGAGGTGTGGGGAAGAGCCAGTGGAGCATGAGGGCTTAAGGAGGAAAATAAAAGCTGTTGAATCAGATCCATGCTCTAATAAATCCTTGCTGATATTTTGTGTGACTCCTTTTTGTGTAGCTGGGTCACTGTATTCTGCTGACTCCTTGTTTGTGTTAGTTACAGGACTCTCATCAGGCCCACATACAAAATGTCCTACAGAACTGTGACCACGCTGGAGTGGAGGTGCTGTCCTGGCTTCACGGGGAGCAACTGTGAGGAGGGTGAGTTATCCAGCAATCCCTCTGTCCTTATGGAGCAGCAAGGATGGACTGGCTGCCTTGGGCTGGGGTTTGTTCCTTAATATGCTCTACACCTCTTAAACACAGGAACAAATCACCTGTTCCCATCACTCCCCACTGTTATCTGAATGTCACACACGAGCTCTGAAAGGTGGTCTGCAAACAGGCCTGAACAGGAAGGGGGAAAGAAATAAAGAAAAGGGAATCAGGGATGACCTGTTTAGAGATGTGCTCATGCTTGGCACCCCTGTTGTATTCAGAAAATGTGCATTCTCCTTTTCATGTGTTATCTTCTCCCTGTCCCTGTTATCACCATCGGTTGTTGTGTCCATTAAAAGCTCGCTCCTGGATGGCTGCTTCTGAACGTTTTATGCCTGTAAGGTCTGGACATAAATAATGTGTGCTCCCAGAGAACTTTCAATCAATACCTTTGGTTCCCCTTTCTATCTGCTCCTTGACTTACTGGTGCAACATTCTTATTGCACAGTGCATGTGAAAACACAGTTCTCTGCACAGAGGAAAACACAGAGCTCTTTCCAGAGCAGGAGGAAAAAGTATTTTCCTTTTTTTATCACAATAGGGCATGTTTTACATTTTCCTTCCTAACATTTTCTACTTCTGGAGGTTTGAAACAAGTCCCGCTTCTCCAACAAGTTTCAGGTTTAGGCATTAAGGCATCTGCTGAACCTGACTTGTGAGATCAGAGCTTATGAATAGGAGAAACTAAGCCTGGAGTTTTCTGTTCATTTGCATCAGGTCAACACAGCCTGTCTCTGGCTGCTGAAGGGTCATTGGGGGGTGTCCAACATCTCTGAGTCTGCTGTTTGTACTCGTTTTCTTTGTGTTATGATATCTTAACACCAATCACACAATTCAGGCAAATCTCTGACTAGGAACTTGTCTCATTACAGTCCCAAAGAGTGATGGCTGCAGACAGCAGCTGGTTCCAGGCTGCTGAGCAAACAGAAGCTCCACAGAAGTCTGACAAAGTGGCAATGCTACCCAAAGTTGCAGTCTGCAGGAGACAGCTTTACATTTTAACATAAGGCTAAAAGAAGCGAGCCTGAGAGAGAAGCTGCTGTGTGCAGCTTGAGTATTTAGCTGTCCCTGCAGGGAAAGGGGAGCTGAGGATGGTGGCAGAGCTGTCACTTCCAGTGTAGCTGGGTGAGGATGCACCTGGTGGCCTGAGGAGCCCCTCAGGTGTGCCCTGTGTGCAGCCTGTTCAAGCCTGCAGGTTTGGCCAGGTGTGAGTTATTACAGCTTCCTGGTGCTGCTGGTGCAAAGGAGAGATTCCAGCTCCCTCCTGCAGTGCCAGATCTGTCTCAGCAGAGTTCAGTGGAAATAAAAAGCCAACATAAGCTTGTTTGAGAAAGCCGGCAGTGATCTCGCAGGAGCAGGTCTGTGGAATGAGGTGACAATTTTATACAGTTACTTTTCAAGGTGGAACTGTTCTTTTGGGCTTGGATATGGTCGATGGAGTGTGAGAAGAAAGCCAGTAGTAAGCCCTTACTTTCATGTGTGAGATTCCTTTTACCTTTTTTTCCCCTCTCTTTAAAACATCTGGTGCTACTGACAGTCCCATATCCTTGAATGAGAGGAAAATAAAAAAAGACCCCTTTCTGGTGCAGCAGGGTTCTGCCACTTACCTTTTAGTGTAAATACTGGTGCTAGTGGTCTAAATGGCCCTTCAAGCTGTCAATTTTAAAATGGAAATATTTACTTACTCATTATGTTGATTCCTAATGTTAATGTCACTTGGAAATGAAAGTAGAAAAGGCTAAAAAGAGGCTGTTTTAGGGATTTTGGCAACCTGATATAAGGTCTTTTGTACTCTTTCCTTTCTGTGCTCTCCCCTACTGCAAATTTGGTTCCTCTGTGAGGGTGGGATGCTTAACTGTGTGAGTTCTTCCTGGAAACAGCAGACAAAAGGAAACACAAAACTAAAGTGAAGCAAAACAAAAACAGTGCAGTGATGAAGCCACAGTGAATGAGCAGGGCAGAACCTCAAAATGCTTTCATCTTTCTTTGGTAGTTAGACTTCTCCTCAATATTTCATTTCACTTATGTGTGCAGCTGGTGCTTTAGAAGTTGATGTGAGGTAGGTATGACTGGAGGCAGCCTGAACCTGCACTGTTTCTAACTTGTTTTCTTGCTGTGTTGCAAATCCTCCCATTCTTTGACAGCCACTGTTGCCAAAGGAATGGCAGCTGCAGTGGCTTTGAGCTCCCACTGCAACATCTCCTGGTTCCAGAGGGAAACGCTTCCTTTCCCAATGGCTCTTGGAACAAGGTGTGTTTCCTTCAGCAGGATGGATTAAGCCAGCAGATAATGGATTGATTAAGCGCACAGAAGAGTTCTGGGAGTTGTGTGTGCATGGGCATGGCTGATGGTGGTCTTTGCATCCTGATGATATAAATCTGTCTATAAGATCTATTGATTCCTTCTTTAACCCCCAGTGAGCAGAGTTAATATTTGGTCCTTTTTTGTGCTGTTCTGGAACAGTGTTTTTGGGGGAAACCACTGTAGCATATCTGAAGGATAGATTATTTTTACTAGCTGTCCTTACATCAAGCCTTCCTTGCCCTTTCAAAGAGAGAAGACAGGACAGAGAGAGGGTGAGCCAAGGAAAGAAATCAAAGAATTTGAAGCTATTTAGAGGCTGCAGCTATTTCTGATATCATAACTTGTGATCTCCCAAATGGCAGGTCGGCTTTTCTTTAGCAAAAGCAGCAGTTCAGTGTGGATGTCTAGCCCCAAAGGATGACAGACTCCTGATGACACTGCCTTGCTGTAACACCTTCAGTGGGAAAGCTCCCCTCTGCTAGAGCAAGCTGTTAAATGCAATTCAATCACTGGTGTTTCCATCCTCAGCTGTTAAGTTTAGCTTGAGCAGTAACCACTTAATTGTCACCAGCTGACAGGTACCTACATCAACACTGAAAGCTGCATTTTTAGATTTAAATTATCCTGGGAATCTAACTCCTGCATTGAAGCTGATAAAGAGCAGCATTGTCTGGAGGGGTGGATGGAGATTCTGATCTCAGTGGGCCATTAATTTACTGTGGTAAATGAACCTGGTTCCAACCTGTTTCCTTTTTCAAGCTGACACTGCCTGGGGCTTTCTCCCCTTCCTTTCCTTGCCTTCTACTCAGTCCAAGGCACATCAGTATTTGAAAGATCTCCAGTTCCTTTACTGGTTTTGTAGAACTGTGACCTGCTCATTGAGTGGATAGTCAAAAATCACCAGTTGTACCAGGCCTTCCCAAAGGGTTTCTTGCAACTTCCTTGGATGGAGAAAAAGATTTGATGCAAACCAGTCTGGTGAATATAACTGTCACTAGATACTAACTTTTATTTTCCAGTTTCAGGGGGCTTTTGTTTTGTTTAAAGTGGAGCCCAAGCCTAGGACAGGAAATGAATGCACTGAGCCACCCAGTCTGCTGACTGCTGATATAAAGAACATATGGATGAGGGCAGTGCAGGGGTGAAGTGGTTTAGCCGTTGCAATCATGCATCAAGCTGATTGATTTGAATCCAAGATGATGCTGACATTTCAACTCAGCCTTTTTTTTTTTTTTCTGTATGGCTGAAAGTTCAAAGGCAAGTGCAACCTCTTGGGAAAGGAAAAGTGTCCCCAGCAAGTTCAGGGGCTCAGTGCTGCCCTGGAGCTCTCCAGCCAGGCAAGGTCTTATTTTACTTTACAAATATAAAGTAAAATTCCTTTCCTTGTTTGTTTGTACTTCCTTTTAAGTTTGTTTGTACTTCCTTTTAAAACTCCCTTCCTTGTTTGTTTGTACTGCTTGAGTTTGGGACAGTAGCCAGTATCCTATTTACCCCAGAAGCAGATTGATGGTAGACAGCTTAGCTGTTTGGGCAAGAAACAGCTCCCAGAGTAACCTCAGCACCTCTAAAGTGATACTACTGTGATTCCAAACTTATTTTTTTTTCCTTTCCTAAGAATGCAAGTAAGATAGGAAATTTGAGCAGCCTTGTTCAAGTAATGGCTTAATTGGTGAACATCCTTTTTTTTATGTCTCCCCCTCCTCATTTCAGTTCTTGGAATATTATGATCTACTTCTAATAACTATTGTTTGCATCTTTCTTGTCATCCTGGTATTTTTCAAACCTCTTAGATTCCCATGTGTTTACAATCTTCAAAGCAGCATAAGAAAATGAGGATTTTCCTCTTGGTATGATAGAGTGCAAAAACCCTTTTCATTTTTACTGCTGGTTTACAAAATTTCTTGGTCCCAGGGGCAGAGATGTAGAACAACACTGCCAGGAAAGTCTTAAATAAGCAAATGTAATTACAAGACAAAATTTGATGAGACTGTGAGAAATGACATCAAAACAAGAGACCTGAAAGTCTGAAAGCCCATTGAAGTGCTCTGAAGGGAAGAGAATTCAAAGTGGTCATTCAAAGTGGAATTTATGGTCAAAGTGGAATTCAAAGACCTCCTTTCTCCAAGCTTTCCCCATGAACTATTAAAACACAGAACTGTCCATGATGTGAAAATGCAACAGAGAGATTATGAAGTAACATTTCCTGTAGGATCACAGGAGTTCTCTCCAGGAATTGAGCTGGTGTGTTCTCCTTTTCTCAAGTCCCTCTGTTCCTTCCTCAGCAGAGCTTTTTGCTGCCACTGAGCTTCTTCATCTTCTCTTAGAAACTGAGAAATTGTAAGAGAAAACAGTGGGAGTCAGAGCCATTGCAGTGCCTGTTCCTGCTGAATCCTGGTTCAGTGATGTTTGCCCACTGCAGCTGAGTCCAACTCCTGCCATAAAACAAAAGCTTCCCTGAGAACAGTGAAATTCTCCCCAAGGTGGTTTTTTCAGTGCCCTCTGACTGGCTGGGCAGTTCTGTGCTGCAAACATGGCAGACTGAGGTTCCTTCCCTTCAAGCTTGGCTCTAACAGGGCTGTAGTTCTCTATTAGAGACTAGTTTAGTAATTCCTTTAGGAAAATGTGGCTTAGCTCTCATT